CTCAGCAAATGATGTCAGCTTTACTTTTGTTTTTTTTTTTCGCTTTTTGTGCTTCACAGCAAATCTTGATTCCTGTTTACTCTTTGATTTGGTGAGATTTTGCAATTGCGCAACGGCTAATTCAGAATGGATGCAAAATCTAAAAATCTAATTGGATATTAGTTAAGTCCTCTCTTCTTTAACTTTGACTTAGACTTGAATAAAGTCAAGTCAGAATAGAATTGAAAACGTGTTAATATATTGTTTATTTACTTTAACAATTTAACAAGGAAACTGTTCCTATATGCCACATTATAAATAAATTATTAACAAGTCTCGGCTAAACCTTTTGAAATCGAATAGTCAAGAGATTTAACAAATATTTTGAAAGGCCTTCGCTGTGCCATATGCGGATTAGGTGGGTTTTGAAATAATTTTCTTTTAACGATATGCTGATAGTTTCATAACGATAATTAATGATCTATTATAGATATATTAAATTTATAATTTATGCAGCGAAGAGTAGAGAAGAGAGAAGATTGAAGGGAAAGAGAATTCTGTATTGATTAAAAATGTAAGCAGAAGAGAAGAGAGATAGACTTTAAATATACATATGTGTATATAATTATATTACATTTCTAGATTCTTGATACTTGTTTGTCTTTTAATGCCTCGTCACGCACTGCAGCAGTGATTGTGATTTGCATAGTGGGCAGCTCAGACACCTGTTGTTTTTTTCTTTTTTTTTTTGGCACAAAATTCATTTTGTTATGCGTGTTGTGCTTCAACAACTCGACTTTGACTCAATTTTTTCGAGTTTTCCACTGACTTGCAACGTGGGCGGCCCCCGCTCGAACTATGTGTGTGTGTGTGTGTGTGTGTGTGTTTACGACGTCTGGACATTAGTCGAACTCCTCTGCAGCATTTAGTGGCACATAAAAATGTCTATAAAATGCATTGATAAGTCTTTCTCTCTATAATTAAGTATTTTAGAGCAACCCAACATGTGGTCGAAAATCGTAATTGGAAGCTGAGCTCTTATAATTATAATCCCCTGCAATCTATCCGAATATTTGTAAAATTGCTTGTACAATCAGCGATATAATCGTTAAATTTCAAATAACTACTAAATGGCAGTTGTGTTAGAGGAAGTTTAGTTTAATCACATAGATTTGACAAGAAATACTTATATGGAAGCGGAAACATTAGAGATAATTGTTGGATAACTGAGATCACATAAAAAATTATTGTTGCAGCTCTATGAGAACATACGTATCTGCTCGAAGTCTGTAGCTTATACAATAAATCATTTTATTATATTTAAAAGTATCTAAAAGTAATATATATGTATATATGAACCCCTGGCAAATCACGTGAGAAAGACTTTTAATAAATCCTTTGATATGACTATATATAAATATAGCAAATTAATTGCAATGACTAATCATATTTTTTTGAGTAAAATTGTATAAGGAATGTCTACAGGGTATGTAATCAGATTTCTTATTTTTAATATATCGCCGATTCAAAGTTATGCATCTTCTGATATGACTTTTGTAAATCTGGCAAATTAAAGTCGATGCCGAATCATCTCTTGCATCATCTACCATCTCATTAAGAATGCAATCTCCCACGCATACATTTTTGAATAATTACAGGGTATATAATCAGCTCCCTCTATCGCATTCTCTCTCATCCAGTCTATATGCATGGCCTTTGCAATAAATCATTATTTATTAGAAATACCTACATAGCAGTCATATTGACAAGCCATAAACCTTTGACAATAATTCAATTATATTATATGCTAATAATAATATTAATGACAAAAGCGTCATTAGACATTTCAACATTGTTCACAAACGAAACCAATGCAACTTAATTGCCCGAGCTACAGACAAAGCAATCTGCAAGTCGTAATTCGCTAAGCCACGTAAATGGCTTTACTACATACGGAACTGGCCCACAACTTTTCACGGTGTAAATCAAAGGAAAGGCAAAAGGCAAAACAAAACCAGCCCAACAACGACAACAGTAACAGCAACAACAATAACAACAACAACAACAGCAACAACAACGACAACGAGGCTGCATTCATTTGAATATGCGCCGCATGCAGTTCAAGCTATCTGTCTATCTATCTATCTAKCTGCCTAGCATCTGTCAGAGCCGCTGCCCGTTTGTAACTTTCCCCCATAAACAACAAAAAGACACATACTTACACACACTTACACACACACACACACAATCACACACACTCTTAAGCACAACGAAAAATTGTTTGCACTATTGAGTCTCGGCGCTCGGGTCTCAGCCGCTGGCTCAATCTGCTCTTGCCAACGTAGTCAAGTGCGTGGCTGTCTCCATAGTTGCTGTAACCCTCTCTCTATCTCTATCTCGCTCTGCCTCTCTTCATTAGACGACGGGCATGTTAACAATGCATTTTGTTTGTCCATTCAACGTTGCATTGTGTGTGTGTGGTTTTTTTTTTATGCAAATTGATTTTCTTTTCAACCAAAAAAAAGTAAAGTGAATATGGATTTATGAAAAGAAAAACATTTATTAAAATTAGGCAACAAATTTTGATTGAGAATAAGTGTTATATTTTCATGAATTATATAATTTTTTTGTTTCTGCTGCTCAAAACATTTCATGAAATCTATGATTAGTGTGCAATAAATTGGGTTAAGGCAATGAAATTATGAAACTGTAAAATCAATTAATCAAAGCCCATCACAGCTTTAAAATTATTATAATATGAACAATATTTTATAGTGCTATACTCTGCCGACACAATGCATCTGATGCGCCTTTCATAGCAAGTTTATCGAGCCCTTGAAGCTAAAGTAGTATAGCAAATATTTATTCAGTGAATATACCTGAAACTGCAGAACTATATTTCCCTAAAATACTTCTTTTTTTATAATTATTGAAATGTTTATCTCAAAAAATTATCGCCCTCTATTACACTCGTTGTCTTATGGCAAATCTTTGACATTTCTATTTGTAATTAAAATTAATTACATTATAATAGCCCCTTGTGCTACAATTAATCACAGTCAGTTTTAGTCTTATATTTATTAAACTCTCAATTAATAATAAGTATTATCTTAATTTTTAATTTAAGATTCATAAATTTGACTAGTTGCTAGGACAGATTGCCCAAGTCATGCAAAGTCTCTAAATAGGCTTCCATCTCAGACAATTTTTAATTTCCTTGCTAATTTGTTGCTTCCAATTTGATTTGTCAATCAACTTTCTTATGTATCAAGCATGAACTCAATCAAGTTGAATATGCATTGTCGTATAATGAAATTCCGCACGAACTACTTTAGCTGACGATGTTTTTGATACGACCTTGTTATACTCCCGGCCACATGAATATCTTCACTAGAGTGCATAGTCATTCAGGTATTATTCTCTTTTTGCGAAATCTAACCCACACTTGGATTCTGTTTTTTACTACGCAGTTGCCACCGTAGACTATCTGCTTGTATATGTATATGTATGCTCGTATATATCTAGCTAGCTAGCTATCTATCGGATGCTATTTATTGTTCGCTATGGTGTCGGGTCTGTTCCACTTGTTTGGCTTGCTGCCGATGCTGCTGCTGCTATTCTGCTGCTGCTGCTCTGGTTGACTTCCTCAGTTGACTGGCGATATTTGAGTGCTCTTGTTGTTGGCTTTTGCCCAATTCTGCGTTTGTTTACAACTTTGGCGCAGAACACGTACGCCTACAATTCGATATGCTTTGATTTGCTAATAATTTATTGTATTTAGTGGGCAGCGCCTGTCGAGCTTGGAAACAGAATCCAAGTCACATATATGTATATCTGATATATTAATATATGACTTCTAGCATACTTGCTAGAATCCAAAGCTACCCTATTGACTAGAAACCATATTGTTCTAATAGAATTATCAATGCTTTTAATTGATTTTTGCCTCTAGCAGGCATGACTCGTCTCTGTCGCAATCTGAATCTGCAATTTGCAATTGTCATTCGAATAGATATACCTTAGAGGTAATACTAGAATGCCAAACGTGTGGCAATATGGATATAGCTTGAGCAAATCAGAAAATCGCCCTCGGTCAAGCGATCGCGCCTCGATTTGTTTATCGTGCTTTGAGTGCAGTCCACGCCCCGCCGAAAAATAAAAAAAAAAACTCGTTTTCAAAACATGCAAATTAAAGAGCGGAACTCGTAGCTCTAAAGGCTGTGACTGAAAGTCAGCTCATATAAGTATTCATGAGCAACACGTACGCAAAGAGCTTTCAAATGCCGTCTCTCAAATATCCAATCGCCGTATAGGCCGAGAAGGTGGCATGACAGCTTTGAGTCTCTCTCGCTCTCAGTGTGTCGCTGGCCATATCTCTATCTCGATGACGAAGTCTTGTTGTACGCGGCTAGAAATCTCAGCAGTTTCATTTGAGTCGCGCTAATAACGAAACGTATCTAATAGATTCGCAACGAAAACGGCCGACAACAATAAAAACAACAACGATAATTACAAAACAACAACAACAATAAGATTGRAATAGAACGGGTCATCGAGCAGGCATTAAGAATTTATTTATTAAAGCAAAAGAAAACTTTTGCAGCGAAACCAAATCAAGAATAGTGAAACGAAAATACGAATTTGAAATGAAAAAAAAAATAATATTATATTTTAGAGTCTGAACAAAATGGAGAAAATTAAGCCAAAGTGTTCAATATAAAATGGCCAAGTGAAGCGAATTACCGAATAGCTAAAAGTCTCCTTCAAAATACGAGCGAATCACAACGACCTTGAAAAAGCGGCAACAACAACACAAACACAATTTTAAGACTAGTCATTGAGTCACAGTTGAAAACAGTGCAAAATAACCGAAAAAGTATTATTTATTGAATATAAAATACAGCAATTCCAAAAACAAATCAACGAATTTATAAAGTAGATATATATTATAAATAAATGTATGTATATAACTGAGAAATTGTGGGCGTCTCTCTCTCTCTCTCTCTCTGTGTGTGTGTGTGTGTGTTCCACTTATATTAATAAATAAATTGTAATTAAGTACAACTTAAATATACGCCCAAGTTTTAGTCAGTGTTATGCATTATCAGACAAAATGTTCGCCCCACGAAACTCGTCGCCAGTTGCCGCCTATGGCAAGGAGGAGATAGCTGCCTATGAGGTAAATTTGGCCATAGCTGTTTCTAAATTTCTAAAACTTTATTCCATGTGGTCAACAGCAGCAACAACAAAAAACAAAGTTGGTAATGAGTTTTTGTGGTTTGGTTCCGTTTGTCTATCGAACCAGTCCATGTATCCATGTGTGTTTGTGTATCTGTGTGTGTGTGTGTGTGTGGGCCAGCCAAAAGCCATTCAGATAAACTAATGAAAAATTGCAAATATGTTTGTGTGTTGCTGCTGCCGCAAGTAATTATGGGCAATTAGTTGTTAGTCATTGCTGATAGCTAATTTACTGAATGCTGCATCTCGGCAACTTCTAAGCCGAAACGGAATGTGGCGACAATGTCAAGGAGACTCTGAATACCATTTGAATCTCTTTACGGAGAGCTAGCGAAAGGCTGCCAAAAAGTAGCTACAGGCTACAGGCATAAGGCATTTCGCTCACGTCCATTGACACAAACATATACATATATATACCTACTATATACTCAGATATACATATATGTAAAGAGCTGTGCGCTGTTTGTTGATGATTTATGCGCGCGTTTGTGCATGCTAGTCCGAGCACCAACAACATTGCCGGCCAACGAGCGCAAATTAGAAATGTAAAAAACGTGTCCACCGAGAACGTTGTGAAGAAAAGCATAGGCAAAAAAAAGAGTTATAGTTGGGTAAGTTTGCGCGAGTCCATTAGTGACGCACTACGACATACCTCGCACTCGGCGATTTGCAAATATTTGTGTGAAGACGAGGCTTCTTGATATTCTCTTTCTCTGGTTGTTCTGAGAAGAAGAAACTTACAAAGAGTTGAGGCATTTCTTCGTATCGAATTTCATAGGTGATTGCACTCAGTTAGGTAATATATGTAACCTATATACATATATATTATAATATTTAGCATTCTTTATACACAGCACAAAGCTTTGATACCTCTTTGCTAATTGACTAAAAAATTCTTAGTTACTGTCTTAACTTATTGGCACTAATTACTTTACAAATTTTCAATTATATATTCATATGTGTATGTATATATGTATATATTACTATTGCCCAAATATACCTAAGGATCAATTTAAATAACAAGTTTGAACATAGTTAATACATTTTCCAATTTTCTATTTGTTTTTATCGATTGACTTCTTTTATTTTTGTTATCCCACAAAATCTGCCAATTTCATGGTTATATTATATGATTTTATAGATGATAAAAATTAATGAATAAAGTGTGGCTTAATAAAGCTGTTTCCAAAAGGAAAAAAAATTAATATTGCTGAAATGAGCTTCATTAATTCGTGTCAATTTCAATTTAATTTACATAATAATTCCATCTAATTAATATTTTGCTTTGAGTCATGTTAGCTTTAATTAAAACATGAATTATTTTACGTTATCTTGCTGAACAAACTTCTCAAGAATTCTTAACTAGTTACACACACACACACATACACACAGATGTCTATTAATTGGCCGAAATTGCTGACACCTGTCATGCAAATATTTGAGTTCGTTGTCACGGAATCGAAAACGCAGCTTTTGACGTGATGTTGTGGCTGCTGCGGTGTGGGCAGCCACTCAGAAATGTGTCACCGGCCCACATGGCGTCGCATTCCGTCTAAGCCAAGACATCAGAATCTTTGGCACATTTCAACAAGCGCCAAATCTGCTTTTAGCCCCAGCCGCCGCCTCAATTGAAGGAATTTTAGTGCATTCAACTTGGCAAGCGTTCCTTAAGCGAATCAGACAAAAACAACTCTGAAGCGCTTAAGCGGCTTCGATTTGTCATAGCCATGTTCGGGACCCGAGGGGCATCAGCCTTGCATTTGAAAAATGGGCAACATGAAGACAATCGACATCTTCCGCTTGCCGAAAACAAATTAAGTACATACTTTTGTTTTTTTGTTGTTTGCCGGCTCGAGGTGAGACAAGTAAAAACTGCGAGTGCGAGGCAGCATAAAGTTGTATTGAAGAAGAGTAACATGTCAATAGGCATAAAGACTGCAGAGAAAAGACCCCTATGTAAATGTTGATATCGTACTCAATAAGCTAGTCAGAAAAGGTAATAAATATAAATTAACCACTCTTTATCTTTACGATTCGACAACTGTAACGAATTGACACTAAATTAGATCTTTAATTTGATGTTGAAGGCGGCGTGGGGCAGCTTTTAGGCTTGACCTTAATGAGTTTCTTAAAACAGTTCTCTTAGATCATATTTCGACCTTGTGAATGGATTAGTATAAAATAATTTTTGATGCTATTCAAATGAGTTCTCTTGCTCTCAGCTATAAAACATTTTCATTATGAATATGCAAAGATATTATGAAATTTTATGAGAAGGAATCTTCGCAGTCACTTCCTTATGAGTTTATTATATATTTGAAATATGTAATATATTTTAAGTATAGTTTATTACACTAGGAGAAAGGTACTTTAGCATTTCGGGCTGTTTCCTATTATGATAGTTTTTCTTATCAGTAAATAATTAACATTAATATTTTGATGATAACAAAAACTCGTTTTTCTACTTGAATAAATCAATTTGATGTTGATTTTATTATTTATGATTTCTCTAATGTAACGCGGATGTCAATGCCCGACTTAGATATACGGCGTACTGGATAGAAAAGTAGATAGTAAACACGCTTTTCTTTTGACTTTTGCCCACCTCTATTGATTTCACATGGCGATTTTCTAGCTGGGCTTAGAGTGTTTACAATTTCACGGCATATTATGATCATTACGAATGCAAATAGCTGAAAATAGCTTTAGAATAAACCGGTTCACGACGACCTTTTGCATTGAGAAATATTTTGTAGTTGCGTTGGTGGCAGCTGAAATGTAAAACAAGCGTTTCAAATACATACATAAATATATACACAAATACGTATATATCTCTTAAGTGCTGACTTTGAAAAACAAGCGAGTCAAAGGCTCGCGCATTCCTCTTGACTTCTGCTAACCAGATGATCTCAGCTCAGCTAGGCGTTCGATATGTCTTTCCCTCTCTCACTGCGACACAAATTCATGCCACGGGTGTTTAATGAGTTGTTGTTGTTGTGCTGTTGTTCGATTTTGTTTGAACTATTTAATTGGTATTGCGATTTGCAGTGCTTAGCTGCTCGCCCACATATAACGAAAGCTATATCTCGCTCTCCACATGAATGTATATATGGACATGCCGCCCGACTTGTGCAACTGCGTCACGATTGCCATTAAAACACTTGACTCGTACTTCCTGTCCTTAAGCGACAGACATACATATGTATCAATTATGTACATCACACACTTTATAATAATTGAAGATATATATATATAAGAAGCTTTAGAGTTGAGTCTTCCATTGAATCCATTGGGTACTGACAGATGATTCTATATATTTCTGACCGCCTCAGATGTGGGTCAATATCGTTCTTTTATGCCCATGCGAAAAGATTTTAAGTCTGCTTGGATTGAATTTTAGCGCTTTTAGCAAGGCTTTACCTAGCCAAGCACTTACTGTCTTTTTGTTAGCATGGCGTATACTTAATATTTGTATAGCACAGCATCATGCGAATTACAGTTCACCTTGAATGGAATTTAGTATTTGTTTACTTAGTTATTGTGTTGAAATAGTTGCTTTTTGCTGATTTTTTAATATTATTTTTTATTTGGTTATGTTAATTGAGATATATGTGAAAAGTGTTCAAAAAGAGGTGTATGTTAATGTATTTCTTAAATCTGTGGAGGTTTATATTCTATAAATTATTTTCTAAATAAAATGGAATACTTTGCTGCTGCTGATAGTTTTTTTTAAATATTTTATAATATTTTTAAAAATATCAATAACAATAAGAGGTATGTTTAAACAACAAAATTCGCAGCGGAACACTTTGGCAATGGGTCGAGGCAGAGYTCACGAATGCGTCTAACGGTAGCCGGCGCTTTGTCTCTGTTTTGTTGTTTGCTTTTGGCTAACCATTCGCCTCAGCTTCGTATCGCATTGGAAGCCTTTGACTGTCGCTGCYGCTGCTGCTGCTGCTGTCGCCTCTGCTGGCTGGCTGGCTGGCTGCTGGTCGTCGTCGTCGTCGTCGCCAACGAGTGCAGCGAATTGGGCGAGCTGTGTGCAGTAGTCGCTTCAGTTGCAAACGAACGATTTAAGCGAAAAGTTCGAAAAGTTCCAGCGCCGTGACGTGACTGAAATTTGCAAGCGGCCGAGCGAATCTCTTCACACAGCCTAAAACCCAAAAACTGCGTGTAAATTGAGCTAAACAAAAACAAAGCGAAACACAATTGACAAACAAAAATAAAAGCTAAACGTTTTGGGCGGGCAACGGTAAATGCCAAACCGAAGCAAAACAAGAGTCAAGCAAATGCGCTTAGCGCCCAAGTGTCAAGTGCAAAACAAATCTCATTGGCTGTTGGCAGCTGTTTTTTTCACATGTCTCGCACACGAAACAACTCGCAAAGCCGCATCAGCTGTGCCGCTTTATGCATTCGAGCTGCTTGCGGCAGAGCTGCCGGAAAGTGTGCTATGAAAATTTGTAAAAATTAACCAAATTTACAGGCAGACAGAGAGGCAAATACTTTTATGTAGAGAGTCTGTACAACTTTGGGAATTTATGCAGCTTTTTTAAAAAAGGNTATATATATATGGGTTCTCATATATGTTTTGCTCTTTCTCTTCCGCCCCCTGCACAGCTGCACTGTGGTCCTGTTCAATGCCAAGCGTCACACACAGGCCTATCTGGTCAATACCTCCCGCAAAGCATTCACATCCGTTGCCTTCTCGCGCTGCGGCCGCTATGTGGCCACCGGCGAGTGCGGCATCAATCCTGCCATCAAAGTTTGGGAACTAGAGACGCCCAATGGCAATCTGGAGCAGTGCAGCGGCGGCACAGTCATAGCCGAGTTCGTAGATCACAAATATGCCGTGACCTGTGTGGTGAGTGGAAAGCTGTCTATTTATTTACTCGACTACTTGTGCTTTAATGTCTACTGCATTGCTCTGGCAGGCATTCTCGCCCACGGGCAAGTACCTGGTGTCGGTGGGCTCGCAGCACGACATGATTGTCAACGTGTTCGACTGGCGCGCCAATCTGAAAATGGCTTCCAACAAGATTAGCTCCAAGGTGGCAGCCGTGTGTTTTGCCGAAGATGGCAGCTACTTTGTCACCGTGGGCAATCGACATGTCAAATACTGGTATTTAGAAGGTGGACGCAAGGTGAGTCACATACACATAGACATATATACACTTTAACAGAAAGTAATTCCAATTCGATTGCAGTACAAAGATCCCATCCCCCTGATGGGTCGCAGCGCCATTCTGGGCGATCTGCGGGACAATGATTTCTGTGCCGTCGCCTGCGGCAAGGGCATCTGCTCGGAGAGCACCTATGCCATCACACGGCAGGGGCACCTGGTGGAGTTCAGCTCGAGGCGGCTGCTCGACAAGTGGGTGCAGTGCCGCACCAGCAATGCCAACTGCATTTGCGTCAACGAACGCTTTATACTCGTTGGCTGTGCCGAGTCCATCATACGCATCTTCAATGCTTCCACGCTGGAGTACGTGACGACGCTGCCCAGGACTCACTACCTGGGCGTAGACGTTGCCCAGGGCATACAGATCAATCATATTATGTCTGTGCCCCAGCAAGCCAAGTTCCCAGATTGTATTGCCATGGTCTTTGACGAGCAGCGCTCCAAGGTATGAACTGAAAGTAAAGAGAGATCGAGGTCGTCTCACATTTCTCCTTTTTATATACACAGGTCAGCTGCGTCTACAACGATCACTCGCTCTACATTTGGGATCTGCGCGACATATCGCGAGTGGGCAAGTCCCACTCGTTCCTCTACCACTCCACGTGCATTTGGGGCGTGGAGACAGTGCCATATAATGTGGAGCGTGAATCTTCGCAAACATTGCCAGAGGATTGCTTCGTGACATGCTCGTCGGACGACACGATTCGTGTGTGGGGCCTGGACAATTGTGCCAACAATGAGATATACCGCAAGAACATCTATTCCAAAGAGCTACTCAAGATCATCTACAGCGACGACGAGCTGCAGTACATCAAGGACCAGGGCTCCTCGCTCTTCGACAAGACGGGCAGCTCCAGCTACGACGGCCGCAACGGCGTGCGCTGCATTAAAATTAGTCCAGATCTGCAGCACTTGGCCAGCGGCGATCGCTGCGGCAACATACGCGTCTACAGCCTGCACAACCTGAAGCTCTTGACCACCATCGAGGCGCACGAGTCGGAGGTGCTCTGCCTGGAGTACTCCAACGAAAAGATCGAGCGCAAGCTGCTGGCCAGTGCCAGTCGTGATCGCTTGATACACGTCTTCGATGTGTCGCAGAACTATTTGCTGCTGCAGACCCTGGACGATCACAGCTCGTCGATCACTTCCATCAAATTCGTCGGCGCTGGCCTCAACTTCCAAATGATCAGCTGCGGCGCCGACAAGTCCATAATGTTCCGAACTTTTCAGGTAAGTGTGAAATGCTCTTCAATTTCAAATTCCATTATCTAATGCATCTCGTTTGCAGGGCAACATCTTCATGCGCGGCACGAATACCTCTGGCAAGACAACGCTGTATGACATGGAGGTGGACTCAAATGCCAAACACATTCTGACCGCTTGCCAGGATCGCAACGTGCGCGTCTATGGCACGCAGAACGCCAAGCAGACGAAGACCTTCAAGGGCTCCCACTCGGACGAGGGCAGCCTGATCAAGCTCAGCCTCGACCCCAGCGGCATTTACGTGGCCACCTCCTGCACGGACAAGACGCTCGCCGTCTATGACTACTACTCCAGCGAGTGCATGGCGCGCATGTACGGCCACAGCGAGCTGGTGACGGGGCTGAAGTTCACCAACGACTGTCGCCATCTGATTTCGGCCAGCGGCGATGGCTGCATCTTCATCTGGCAGGTGCCGCACGACATGATCGTCACGATGCAGGCGCGCATGTCCCAGCAGCGTTTGCGCTCGGGCATTGCGCCGCTGCAGCGCCCATTGGCGCCCATCTCGCCGCCTGATGCCATCGTGGTGGAGTCGCCCATCAGTGAACTGGAGCATCAACAACAGGCGCCCAAGTTTGTTGTGGCTGAGGAGCAGCCAGCCAATCGCCATGCCTATCGACTGTCCGACGTGGGCCAGCTGCCGCAGTGGGCTATGCGCAAGGCGGCCGACTCGGATAGCGGCGCTCTCTCCATACCCACGCCCATCAATACCGCCTTGTCCTCTGCGACCATGCACGCCGCCTCGTCCATGGGCAACCTGAGCTCCTCGCCCAGTCAACAGCTGGGCGTGGCGGCGCCTCGTGCCCGTGGACGCTGGGCGCAGCGCAGCAGCCAAGCCCTGGAGACAGAGGACATGCGCTCCAACTCAGAGAGTCCGCTGGGCACAGTGTCTTCCGTTGGCGGTCACAACATACCAACCTCCGATTACAACAGCGCCTCCTCCAAGGACATCATGTACAATCAGACGTACTTAAGCGAGGACTCGTCCATTGACTCGGGCATGGAGACGCGGCGAGAGCTGAAGTTCATTGGCAGCAACAACAATGGCACAATCCCCAACATCTCAGCACTTACCTCCAGCACAAATACTCCGGCTGCCGGCATCGTTGCTCAGCAGCGGCTGCAGCTGGACAAGCGCAAGCCCGGCATGCGCTTCGATACGCACAGTCACGATCACGATGGCGACATTGAGGACATATCGGACGGCGAACGCACCAGCTCGGATCACGGCATGTTCTACAACAACATGGCACCCAGCACGCCAACGTGAGTTTGTGGACTGTATGGGGAGGGGGTAGAGGGGAGGCAGAAGCACATGAAATACTTCTTAATTAGCAAATAAGGTTTCTTTATTTAATTGTGGAACAACGCTATGTAGACGACATGTTCTAAGGTCGACGCTGACTGAATGACTACTATCAACTTGAATCCATTTAGGCTTCATTCACATATAAGTTAAGTTCTTTCTTTATTAAAACGGGAAAAAATAAGATGTTTTGATATTTCACTGCTTAAATGCAGTCCGCTTTATTGAAGAACAAATTTGCAACTAAATTACTTAAATCAATTCTATCCCTAGCTAAGCTGTGGTTCAGTCGACGACGTTGGCAGCGGCGTCGCTCGTGGTGTTGTTGAACCGTTGTGCAATTCTTCTTAGAATTGCTGGAGCTCTGGTTGGCGTGTGCAGGAAGTCCGCTAGACATGGTGTCAGCAGTTTTGGCTTATTGGTCTGATCAGCTTGTTACGTTTTATTTGTGTTGCAACAATTCCCATTGGGTTTTGTTGCAATGCAGAATATTTTTGTTTTTARCTTGAAAAATATATTTGTTGTTAACTTATACAAACACACTAATTCGTAGTTGTTATGCATTAAGATATAGGCGTGTAAAGGCCTTCTGTCTATATGACCGACTTTATTAACTAGAATTTTCTTCTACATAAATGATTGATATTGATTGATGATGATTTAAGTGAAATTTTGGATAGATACAAGCTGATTGAATTAGTCATAAAGGAAAAAAAAATTTTTGCAAATCAGCTGGAGTTTTCATAAAGGCCTCTGCTCATGTGAGAATGTCCGAAATTTGTGACGGAAATTAAAGTATTTAATATATATTAAACTTATAGTATAGTATATATGAATATATAGTATATATTACAATATCCCGATCATTCGAAATGGAAATGTCAAGAGGATCAGTATTTTTTCGGATTTACACAGAATTTCAAATTTTCGAGAACGAATTTTTTTCAAGCGAATAGAATATTTTCGATTTACTGCGATTTTCAATTTAGTGGCGTACAAATTATCGAGACTCAACTGAATTATATAAAGGGTTCACTAGAATAGAATGGGTATGAGATGAAACAGCGAACAGAGACTCAGTCGTAGTTCTTTTTTATTTAATTACAAGAACGTAGATATAGTTCAAGTCGAACATTGTACAACATTTTATAAAGTCCACATTAACTCTGAGCTGAGTATAAAAATTAATATGTTTTTGACTTAGTGGTAACTTTATTTAACACTGACAAATTGTTTATGTATTTTTTAGTCATGAATGAAACAACTTAATTCAGACCTTTTGAACATAGAATATTATTGACTAAGCCAGGCGCAATTTAAAGTAAAATCAGACAGCTTATTAGGCGCCAACAAAGTTGCAATTTAATTACTTAATTTAGTAAGAATGTAATCATACTACATCAACTATTATATTTTATGCACAGTGACTTCAAGGTGACTGCCATGAACGAGGAGGAGCTGCGCAAATCGGTGCGACGACAGAAGTTCGAGAAATCTGGCCTACAATTAGCCAACGCCAGCGGCAATGGCAGCACCCATACGGCGAGCACCGGCACAGGCACTGGCACATCGGATACGGAGGATGAGGGCTCGACGCCCAGTGCGGAGAATGCGGAGCGCTCGTTGGCCTCGACGTTGGGCGGCAGCTCAGAGAATTTGCCACAGAGCAGCAATAGCTTTTTGCATGCGGCACTGCCCGAGGGTCCTGGACTGCTGCTGGAGCGCGGCACAAGCAGTAGGCTGCCCTGAGCACATCTATTTAATACTTTATACTAATTCAGTTTAATTTGAATGTCGCAGGTCGTCGCAGCATCAGCGCCAAGCATAACAATGAGAATGGAAAGGTCTCGGCGCCGCCTACCATTACGAAGTCATACACGAGCACCAAGAAGGAGGAATTGCTGCAGGTCATCAACAAGGTCAAACAGCAGCTGGAGAATGTGAGTGGAGGGTAGCAGGGGGGCAGCGGGGAAAGGGGACTGGCAATTGAATATCTCAGGCAGCTAAGCCGCCTACCTTTTTCTTTTGTTTTATTTTTTATGTCTTATTTCCCATTCTGTTTTGTTTTGTTTTCCTTATGTGTTTTTATGAATCAAATGTCAACCCAAAAAAAATATTCGAATGTTTAGGGTACGCACAAAAATGGCATTAAAAAGTTAAATACCATAGCTGAGGTGAGAACTGAAACGCAGTTAAAAACGAAATTAATTTTTGCTGCTGCTTTACGACTGATACTTGCTTTGCATTCACAATCTAAACTAAGCACGTCGAGCTGTCCACTAAATTGGCATTCCATTTAACGAATATAAAATATCAATTAATTATTTCAAATAATTGCAATTATTACTAAAATGTAAACTGCATTGCTTAAGCAGCATGTTTAATCCATTTCAGGGTTTCCCGATCAGGTTAAATATGAATAGTTTTGATTGTCTGATACAATATGATTACTGCTTATATCTTAGGCATTTCATTGTTAGACACCTTTAAGATCTATTGAGAGGGGAGAATAGAAGACGCCATTGTTCTCAGTAAAAATAGTATATTATGTTAAATGGTTTTAGTTAAGATAGCATTATAGGAAAATACTCTGTTGTACATATTTAGATCTCATGCTGGATCTTCACTCCTATATAGGAGTGTTTAAATTATACTTTCAAAGGGAAATTTATTGAAAAATGTTGAGGTAAATTTAATATTAATATTTATCAATTGTTCCCAGTTTAAAGAATTTATATTTTCTGAGTGATTATATATGTATATTTATATTATTAATATTAATAGAGATTTTAAATTATAAAAAAGAAATTTGTTTTATGTAGCTGACAGCATTATATTAACTTTATAATTAGTTTATACATATATTCGTGTTTTTCCAATTAGAAATTTATTGTCTAGTTGGGAAGTCTGTATATCAACCTGAGTCCTCTAATTTGTAAATTATACTTCCAGTTAGGGCATACTAATTATATGTAAATACCAAAGAAGCTGTTGACCAATTGAATTTCCTAATTAGTCTTAAAATTGCTCATAACGATCTTTATAATATTATAGGCTTAAAGAAGAATCGAGAGGAATGTTTTATTGAATACATGCACCATTAATATTTGCCATAAGTTGACCTAATTTTAGCAGACATTAATTAACTAGCGTCAACTGCTTGACTGACAACTAAAGTTGACCTAAGCTTACTCCGAATACTTAGTTAGTGCCCAAGCAAACATCATAACACCAAAAAATGCTATTAAAAATACTAAGAAAATCGCTGTATAAAAACAGAAATGTTCATAATGCCCAACATTAACAAAATTCTTAATTTATATAAGAAATATATTAATTAACTCTATCCCTCTCCCTCCCTGTCTCTGTCTTTCTATTAATAGGTCGGCCATAGACCACTGCGTGGCAGCCATAGCATATCGGATCTAAGTCTAGCTGCGAACTTCGATGGATCGCGCAGCACGGGACCCTCGCGCTATACGAAGCCAGGTAAGCATTGGACGCTTGAGTCAAGCTTGTAGATGGCTTTGATGTATTCCTGAAATGAGTTAAATGAAACGTAGGCTAATCCGTCAACTCTTACAATACGCTGCCTCGCCCACTCTCTCTCTCTCTCTCTCTCTCTCTCTCTCTCTCTCTCTCTCTTTTTCCATTTCTTTGTCTCTTTAACCCCCATTGCGCTCACTGCGGCCCGAAATGTTTTGGTAAAACTAAATCATTTGGAAACGAATCTTGAACATGTGTTTTCTGTTTGTTGCTTTTGTTTTGTTGCTATTTGAACTTGTTGATTAACCCCTCCAGTTGATTCCCCCGATAATTCACAGTATATTAGATCAAATGCGGCAACTGCTGCGCAACAGCAGCAGCAGCAGCAACAACAACAGCAGCAGCAGCAGAAGCCACCTCAACAACAATATCCTCAGCCATACGGCTGCCCTGTGCCGCAGTTCTTTAATAGCGCCGCGTCCAAGTCGAAGCTGCAGCAAAACTTTCAGACCATGCGCCAGGTGCAGCAGCACTATCCGCCCTATCCGCATCATGTGGGCGTTCACCAGATCCATCCGCCGCCGGGCGTGCCCTTTAGCCATGGCCCAGGCTCGTATGTAACGTCGAGGCAAACCACGGCGCAGACCACGCCTCGTCCGAGTGCTGCCAAGCGTAATCCGGCGGGCAACAATCGTCGCACGCCGAGCATTCTCAAGCACTACAAGTCGTGTCCCGTTTCGCCTGTGCACGAGGAGGTGGAATGGTCGATGGAAGCGGAGCGAGCGGCCCCGGTGGAGCCCAAGCGGCACTCGGTCTATGCCGATGATGCGCGCACAATTCTGGACATGATTCATGCGGACACCGAGAAGATGATCGATGAGATAACGCGCAAATACGGCGATCTTGATGAGCCCGCCAGATACCCCGCACTGCCCGCCTCCTGCTCCATGCCGGCCAATCTGCGCGCCCTGGACAGCGCCAGCGCCAGATCGACGCCAACGGCGACGCCGCCACGCGCTCAGTACTATGTCTACCGTGAGATCTATCAGTGCGAGCGCAAGGTCTCGCTCTCGGACATACTGAAGCCGGAGCAGTTCGCCGAAACCCAGCAGCGGCTCGAGGAGGCGCGCTTTCTGGAGACGCAGCGCCACTCGAGTGCCAGCTTCTTCCTGAGCAGCTCGGGCCAGCTGCCGCATGAGCTCAGCCAGGAGTCGCTGCTCTCCGATGGCGGCAGCTACTGCAACAGTCTCGAGAGCGTGCTCTCCGACGAGAGCGACTGCAAGAGCGCACCGCTCGATCCGCCCTCGCTCGACCCGCACCGCCCGCTGCAGGCGATGCAGTGCCATGCGGGCATACGGAACTTCATTTTGCACGGACCCGTGTCCAAGTCGTATGGCAGCAGTCCGAATGCCTACGGCAGCTTCGACTACTACATGCGGCAGGAGACGGCGGCTGCAGCCTCGGCAGCCACCTATGACAGCTTCGATGTCACTGGCTACAACCTGAAGCCGCTCACTCCGCTGCCCAGCTCGAAAACCTATCCACGTCTCGCCTCAGTGCCAGCAGCAGCAGCAGCAGCAGCAGCAGGAGCAGGAGGAGGAGCAGCCACTGTGGAGCACATACCCACGCTGCGTTCGAAGAACAAGCAGTACACGTCGGGCGTGAACAAGAGTCTCAGCACAGACTTTGCCCAGCAGCGGCAGCAGCAGCAGCGCAACTCGAATCCTCTGGCGCAGTCGCACGGGCAGTCGTATGCTCCGGCTCAGGGCCAGTCGAGCAATCCGCTGATGTTTGTGCGCAAGCAGCTCAAGTCGTCGAAGCCACCCATACCGGCCAAGCCGCACAATCTGGTCTCCACGCTCACGTGCAATGTGGAGAAGAGCCAGGCCGGCGTGGGCACCTCGAGAACGGCCACTGTGGTGCGACAGTTTGAGCACAATTTGCTCAAGTTCGAGCGGGAGAAGCAGCGAACTCAGCAACGCACTCAGCCCCGACCCACGGCGTCGGCCATGAGGTGCTCGGTGAGCAGCGGCGCCTTGGCGACGCACAGCTGCCTGAAGAAGGTGTCGCGCTTCGACACCAGTGAGAGCAGTCGCCGGGCCACGAGCGTGCGCCAGAAGTCACGGCCGAAGATCAGTGTGCGCTTCAATACTGTTTCGCAAATCAAGTATACGCCCAGTGCGAAGAGGGAGCAAGCCAATCTGAATGACATCAATAGCAACGCAGTTGAGTCGGAAGCGGAGACGGAAATGGAGCTGGAAGCGGAGGAGGAGGCGGAGGCGCCTCTGGTGGGCAGTCTGCCCAGCGATTATGGTGGGGAGCGCAGCTTTGAAATGTACTTTGCCGAGAATGGAAATGCGCCCGAGAACATGGAGAATATGCAGAGCCTGAAGCTGTATAAGAAGCCCGAGCTGCAGGCTGTGGTCGACGAAATCCAGCAGGAGCGGGTCAAGCAGAAAAAGAATAGAGATAATGTGGAGCGCTCGGGTGGCGGTGGTGGAGCCAACTCCACCAGCAATCAGTGCCAGGACATAGCCAAGAAAATAGACATTATAGAGAAGCTGATAGCCATGGAGGAGCGCAAGATTGAGCAGATCAGAAAGGCCACCGAGACACGCTTGCGTCCCTTTGCCTGCAACTCGAAGGAAAAGGGCTACGTGAAGAGTTTGACCATGAATTTCGATATGCTGGCGCGTGCCCAGGACCAGCAGTCACAATTGGCCGCCGATCAGATGGCCTCGAGTGATGCGGATCTCTGTGCGTATGCGCGTCACATACGCCGGAATTGCAGCTTGCCGGATGTGTTGGAGAGCTCCGACTTTGGCTACCATCGCACGCACGGCAACGACAACGGCAATGCCGATCGCGATGGCGATAGCAATGACGTGGAGCTGGCCAAGGAGGTGATTGCCGACGATGATGACGATGATGATGGCATTGAGTTCATGCATCGCGATGCGGATGGCGATCAAGTGAATGCCAAGAGCGATGCTCATCAGGGGCTGATCATCGATCGTCTACAAGGTTTGAGTGCTTGAGCCTCGATGTTGTAAAATCCACAAAAACATTTTTGTTTTCTCTTTCTCTCTCTCTCTCTCTGTGACACTCTTACTCGTACCATATAAGTTGTACTCTTCACACACGCATATTTATTTGCTTTATTTGCGACACAGACTTGATTCGTGTAGCACCTGCCCCGGCATGTGAACCCCGCCTAACTAATAACCGTCTATGCCTTACTTACAGGTAACCCCAAATTGCTCAATCCCATACCCATTGAGGAGTCGTCCATTCGTCGCGCCTGCTCGCTGAGTGATCTGCATATGGGAAACTTTGGCAAGCGTAAGCGCCACGACAAGCTCCCCACCCCCTCGCTTCAGCTCGAGCTAATTGTCTCTCTTCTCTTCTCTTCTCTCTTCACTCATCTCATCTGCAGCCAGCAAGTCCAACGGCACGCCCCAGAAGCCAGTGGCCCAGCATCGCAACGGCAACGTGACTCGTTCGGCCAGCAAGCGGAACAGTCTGCAGGGCAAATCGGCCCTCGGCGCGTCCAGCAACTCCATGAATGTACTTAATCAAGTCGTAAGTATTTGCACATGATCCATAACCTTAGCAGCTTAACTAAAATTGATTATTTTGCAGAGCGACTCGGAGCCGGAAGACATCAATCGATTGCGGAGTGCGGGCAGCGGACAAGGACGCAGCAGTGGAGCCATTGGTGGGTATTCTGGCTTAAAATGTGTCTGTTCAAAAGAGTGCTCGACTAGAAGATGCTCTGTACTTACTAAAGTAGAGCTATAAAGGCTGGATCAATAATCATCTATATAATATGAAATAAGCTAAACTCCGAGCAGGAAATTAATCAACTCTCTCGTGTCTTGCAGCTACCTCACGACAGTACAGCAACAAAAACCCCAACGCCAACAGCAATCGACGCAAGGCTCCAAGTTTTAACAGTGGTAAATTTCTTACCCATGTGAATGTGAAGCTAGAACTAATTAATCAATTTGTGTTCCATCTATGCAGGCACAAACATGCAGGACGACTCCAGCTCGGAAGAGACTCCCAACATCGCTGCAGGCAATAAGCCAGTGGTGCCGCCCAGGCCCCGTAACTTGGGCTTCGATCACAAGAGCAAAGTGAACAACAACGCGACCAATGCGGCCACGCTCAAGCAACGAGCGGGAGGACTCGGGGATGACTACGAAACTGCTGACTGTGAGTGCCAGAGTAGAAGAGGTTGAATATTCTAGATTAGATGAATCTGAAATTAAGCCGAGAAGCCTTGTAAATCAATATCATGGCCTTGAGACTGTGCTATATAAAACGAACCTCTGCAAAAGTTGTGCAGTTCGATCAGTCACTGATAGACGAAAAATTGTATTTATTATACGAGGTCTTTTCATTGTTAATTAGTTTATTACAATTAGTTATTTGTAATATCTTTTGTATAGATTCCAAAGCTATTCATTCATTCCCTTAGATATTATCGAATCTTGTCAAAGTTTTCATTCCAATAACTACATAAAATTATTGTTCGTTTATCGAATATACGAAACTCGCGAGCCGCCCGCTTCCACTGCTTACATCCCCAACTCTAGAGAATAGATTAGAAATTCTAAATGCAATTCTAAATTTCATTATTTCTAGCCGAGGCCCTGGTGCACATTGTGATCAACAAGTTGTATACGACGACGCAGTCGGCAATGGAGCTGCATGCGAATCTGAAGAACTCGTTGTTACTGAAGGAATTGGAAAATGCTGTGATTATGTCCCGGAATATGCTTGACAGTATAACTCACAATCGGTAAAGTCGAAGTCGAGCTTAAATTAAAACTGATTCACTTATATTAATCACATATTGTAATTTGCAGACAAAACGAGAAATCGTCCTCGGGCCAAGGCTATAATGTTAGCAGCGGGCCGGCTGGAGGCGACATTGGAGATGTTAACAATCGTGAACAGATATCAGGAACAGGCAATCTGGAGAATGGCGAATATCTTATGATGGTCAACAACTGTGCCGATCTATTGAGCAATTTACGCACTAAGCACAAACCCGACGACTGTGAGAATAAATCCTAGTGTGTAGCGTTTATATTAGGCTAATAACAACAAATAACAAAAGCAAACAAACTAAATGGATTAAAACAGAACTAATAATTATTAAATTTAAACACTTCAAAAACAACACTAAAACTGGCGAATGGCAAACGACAAACTAAAATACCAACTTATTTGTAATTGATATCTATATGCTATATTATATATAAATACGTATTAATAGCTATTGTAAAGATTCCTTTTTTTTTGTTTGTTTGTTTGTTTATTTTTTAGTCCGATTTTGTAGCTCTTAAGTAAATCTGCGTATTTGTGAGCGTGCATTTTTTTGCTTTGGTCTAGATTCATTCATTTTTGTAAAGTGTGAATTGAATCCGTAGCGCATTAAGATCTATAAGCAATTTATATTTGTTAAGTGTTATTTAAGTTTCGTTCGCCTGCAGCGGCAACCAAGGCGTGGTTCAATTGTTCTTCTCATCCATGTCAAAAGTGAAATTGGCCATAGATCTTATACAACATAATTGTTAAACACATTAGCAAAAACAAAAAACTGCAAATTATTTGATTTATTTTGCGATTCGTTACCTTAGAATCAAGCCAACATACATATAATGCAGCAACACGTAAAAATGATTGTTAATGAATATGGAATTTTGTATAATTTGTCAAGAGAAATATTATTCTATATATTATTCTACATACTCTGTTCTGTGTACATTAAAGCTTAATTATTTGATTGTACTCGAAACAGTTATACCTAAGCATTGAAACTAAAACTCTTAAATTATATATATTCTACACTTTAACATTACAATAATTTACAACCAAACTAAAATGTATTAAAATTAACTTAACCTATTATAGAACAAAAACCCTAAAAACATTATTTATGTCCATTATTGCTATTCACTCCTAAAAAAAAAAAAAAAAAAAAAAAAAACTATAGATTTGTAATTTTATCGAAAGTAATACAAAAAAAAAAAAGAGCATAATTTTTAAAATATTAACAATGTATTTTCATCTTTCTTTCCGTTAGTTATTACTAAAAATAATATCAAGCTCCAGGCTGTTTGTAAATTGAATTTTACACCTATTTTCCTTCGGGGCGTAACTGACTCTAAAACTTCGTCTCGACCCAGGCAATAAAATATCACATTTGGTATATATGTGTGCACATATTACATATAAAATGTATTTTACATGTTTGGGCAGGGCAAACCCCTAATCTAATTAATCACTAAATTACACAAACTACAAACTAAACATGAATTTACTAAGAATAAAAGCGATTTCATAAATTGTGAGACTATGAAGTAAAATAAATAACATGATTTTTAGCAGCACAAAGGGAGAAAAAAAAGAGTTTCTTAAAAGTTTTATCTTTTCCGAAAGATCGTTGCTGTTTTTAATCTTGGTAAGGTTTTTCTTTTCATTTGATATGCTATTCCTTTCGATTTTATATGGCGCTACTTTTTTATACAATTATTTTGAGCAGCGTAGGTAATCTAGATTTAGTGTAATTGTCTTTGATGGAATGTCCTGTGATTTGTCTTTGATTACGTTATTGGCGTATTTTAGTTTAGGTCCTTCATAATGCCACCATTCCTGAAAAATGGTGCAATGAAATGTCCTATAATGCGGAGTACGGAGCAGTTGCTCCCCAAATTAAGTCAGTTCTTCATCCAAGAAAACAAATTTTTGACAAGAAAAATGAAATAGAGTTGCTTAAGCCCCGAGAATATCTTTATACTTTGCTAATCAGAGTTTTTTTTTTCTTAATAAAAATTAATCACGGAGATAGTGCACTCTGATCGAAGCTCATTTTGGGGTAAAGCCAAAACGAAGCATATTGATTAATTTATGCGTATACACATGTAAACACTGTATAATCTAGTTAGTTTTAAAAGAAACTCGTATTACAATATTATAATACACAATACAATAAAACAAATTACAAGATACACGAATCCACAACAAAATCACGAAAGGAACCGAAATGGAGGCTTTCCGGCGCACTCAGTATAGGGAGGAGGATGACCTTACGGAAGGAACAGACTGGACAGATGGTAGGACACGGCGTCATTTCATCAGTAAAGTCCTCGTGATCATTGGCGTGAGAGCATTTTTCCAAAAGGATTAATCTCAAATGAATCTTATATGACTGTCTTCTCAGTTTCAAATGGCTTTTACAGCTGGATGTACTGTAGGAGTCCTCTTCTGGCCTCTTGCAATAAATATGTTCCAAAAGGAGAAGTATTTGATGTATATAGGCGCCGGTGGAATGTTCGTCGGTAGTAGCGTAATATTTTGTTGTAGACGACTATCTCGAAAAGTGCCCATCAATTATTTTCTACTATTTGTTTATACTATCTTCACTACGATGATGGTCTGCTCTACTACCGTTTACTATCAAACAAATTTGGTGAGCTATTATACTTCAGGTTTCAAAGAATAGTAGTTCATAAATAGAAAGGAAAATGTACTTATGGTGTATGATGTCTTTCTGCTCGTTCGTCCGTTCATCGAAGCTGAACTGAAGCTAGAGACCTCATATTTTAAGTATAGATACAGAGATTTTGCAGCATCCTTAGTCCTTATCTTCTTTTATCTAATTCTCTTCAGATTTTATACGCATTTGGAACGACCGTACTACTTTGTATTTGCCTCACTATATTCGCAATGTGCTTCCCATGCGACTTTACTGGATATGGTCCATTTCTATGTGTGACGGGGTTTGCAACATTTGCTGTTGGAATCCTTGCTTTCGTAATGAAAGACCCCCTAGTGCAAATGATTTATTTGGGCATAAGCCTTATTCTATTTTCTTTATACTTGGTGTATGATATACAGTTAATGGTCGGACGTCATAAAAATCAGTATTGTGAGGAGGATTATATCATTGCCGCACTCAGCATTTACTCTGATATCATCCGAATGTTCATAACTCTATTACAACTAATTGCCCGTATTAGATCAAACAATTAAATCAAATCTATTTTTGTACAATCAATGACGTGTTTTCTACTAACTTTGTGTAACTTATGTGAAGTTTAATTGTTCAATAATTTGATTGTGGATTTCATTTACAAGACGTTTGAAGTGAGCATATCAATTTCTATCGATAGTAGAAGGATTATAGTTATCGATCAACACAATTAGAGTCTTTCTACAACCAATGGGCTTTAGCATTGGCAGTCTCCTGCTTCTATCATGGTCGAAGTGGACAGACTGACAGGTATGGCTAGATCGTCTCAGTCTGTTATAGACGTCGCTTCCGATCCGTCCATTGCCTGTAATATACATTAAAAAAAAGAAACGATTATACGTTGTGATTGGCCTATTTTATTGGGTTTGTGCAACACAATATGTTATTATTAACATGCCCAAGAACTTTTTTCGTGTTCATATCAATATAGACGAAATTGGCTGTCGCACAGTTCGTGTGTGTTCATTAAAGCTATCAGAGGGCTGACCGGCACAGCAGGTGTTGCAACGGGCACCCTTACACGGTACTCGAATTCAACTGGAGCTGATGTACGTGTCGGATTTAAAACTTTACAGGCTCTGTTTGTGTCGCCATATGCGGCCATTCATTGGGTCTAAACTGAACTGGACTGCACGTGTTGGAGGCTGAGGATACTTCATTTCGTGGCTGTTCAGTTCATTGTTGACCCAAAGCCAGGGAAACTGCCATTGATACATTTTCAGTTATTGGGGGACAATTAAATTGTATCAATATTGAACTAAGCCACGGGTTGAGCCACGGCTTCAGCACGTAATTGGTGGAAGGTTCATCCCCCAAAGGTAGAAAGCAGGAAATCGGACGCTAGAACACGATTGCATAGGGAGTATCAATGCAAGAATCGAAAAATTTATGAATTTGAAGAAAGTGTAAAGAATAAAGAATGTGAAATAAGAAGTTTGAAGAAACAAAGAAGTAGAAAGAAAGAACAAGGAATGCGAAATAAGAAAGACCAATGAATGAAAAAACAATGGACTACGAAAAAAATAGCTAAAGAATGACGGATGAAGAGAGACGTGCGAAAGATGATGTTAAGATAAAGAAAGTAAGGAAAACAGAAAGGGGAGAGATGGAAGATAGATGAAAGAAGGTAAAAGTTAGTAGGAAGATGAAAGATTATGTTTAGGAAGTTAGTTTACATAAATATAATAGAAGCACGCTAATTAATATAAGACTAGCTTGCTGCTTACAAGCTAGTCTCTTAGTCGTGCCCTCCCCACCAGTACTGGAATCCGAGGGACTTGCAGGCTAAGCGTTCCGTTGTTCAGTTGCCCAAATGACAGGGCCACTCAATCAGTCCAACTAGCGCGAGCTCTCCAGTTGGACTCGCCGAATGCAACTTGAACAAAAGGCATTCAGAGTTCTGTTGCAGTTACATTCAAATATTTGTATGAAAAAGTTATGTTAGCAGGCTGAGACCTGAACTATCGAGTTAAGCATTTTGTCTTGTTGCGGCAGGAGTCTTGTGCTGTGTGCTGAATGCTGTGTGCTGGGTGAGTGCTCGCACGAATATGCTTAACATACTAGGCAAGTGTAGCTGAATGGCTGAAAGACTCAAGGCAGTTGTTCCATTTCCCACACTGAAGTGAACTGACTAGATAGAAGCTGTGGCAATGTACGACGATGATCTCTTGATGTTGTTGTTGTTGTTGTTATTGTTGATGATGATGATGCTCGGCGGGCAACACATTCAAATGCATTCAACTTGATGTAACGCGGCTCAATTAGTTCGGTTCAGCAGCTTCCAATGCAGATTTCAGAGCGATCCGGGATGCCATCCTGCCCTGTTGCCCTTTGTCGCCAGTCGCCAGTCGCCAGTCGTCGTAGTCGCAGTCGCCGTCGCCGTCGCAGTCGCAGTCGCTGCCGTTGTCGTCGGCTTTATGTCAACTCCTTACACGCTTTTTCACACCACCGACACAAAAACGCCTTGCTGCCCATTTGTGCTGCCTGACAGGCCATGAATATGCTATACCTATATATATGTATAGAGAGTGAAAGAGAGAGAGAGAGAAAGATTGAATATAATGCGACCCGACTCGGGTTGGACTGGGCTGGCTTTTATGCATTTAGCTTTATGATTTTGCTTGACAACCGCATCCATTATGAGCATCTCCCCTGCCCCACCAATTACTAGTCAAAAGTAAGCGATATA